ATTTTCAGTGGTGGATTAATCCACATTCAGTGCTCTAGTGAGGACAGGGAAGCAGGCTGGTCTATGTGGGACTGAGTCAAAATAAACTAGTGTGTATGTTCATATGCAACAGTGTGACTCACTGATGTGTTAAATAGTGTTAATAGCTTTTGGACAACAATGGAGCTGTATGGCTCAGGGGAATAAGATACTTCTGGATTTGGATGCACGCACAGTAGATGTTAAAAGAGTCAGAACCCCCGAACCTGAACAGCCAGGTCCAGGCACAACTTAGCAATCATAACAAGGCACATCATGCCTGCAAAAACCTGCACGGGTATACGAAGAGCTGGAGGATGATTTCTTTGTTCTAAAACCAAAAGCGCATGAGTAAGATGAGCAAACTATTCTTATCTACTCTAACATCAGCTGATCAGTGGGCTAACCTTCAATCTGTAGTCACTGTTTACATCTGACAGTGTCCATGTTCTGTGGTCTGAATCGGTGGCAGCAGGCACATCGCCTGCCTCCCTCTGATCCTACCAGCCTGTACACCACAGACCTGGTATAATTTCATCACAGACCAAAAAGAGCACAGTTTGGATTTGATCCGTTCCAGGTAGTACCAGGCCAGGATCACCGACACTGATACTTGTTACTGCTGAGATTAGAACTTAACAGAAAGTAGTCTGTGATGATTGAGGTAAAAGCATTAATTGCTTATTTCTGACGCATTTTCTTTAGAATGAAATGATTTGCCGAACACTGAGAACTGTTATTGCTGGAATCAAATATACTGTATGTTAAAATACAGGAGAGTTTTACACAAGCTGTTTTCACTTGTATCTCTCTTGTCTCCCTGCCAGTCTGTCTCCACTTTACGGTTCGGCTGTCCGCTGCAGCCCAAAGGTGTGTTTGCTTCAAGTCTCATGTATCATGAGTGGGTGGTGGGTCGCTCCATGTTAACAGAATACAAAGGTGCTGACAGGGGGATGTGACGTTCCAGCGGAGAACAAAAACAAGCAATCCTAGAGTTTGTAGAGGAAACTGGGAGAAGGAGCTTTGTTTTAGTGCACTGGTGTTACAGTGGTTCTCTATAAATGCTCAGTAGGGTGGGCTGCTTTTAGTATTGATCGATTCTCAGTGATAGTGATACTTTCAGGATTGATCTTAACCCAGACCAAATAAAAGAACAACAGCCAGCCACTCACTCCTTGTTGCTGCTGTGGCATCCGATCGCTGTCTACAAGCACCCACTGTATGTTGTTTTGCAGAGTTACAGGCTACATCAGAAAGAACAGTTTTTATCAATCAAATACCTAACATCGGTTGCTCACCCAAGTATGTTTTTCTACAGTAAACATCTGAATTGAAAGCTTTCAAATGCAAGCTAAAATGCCAGAGTAATTTGAAAGCTCACCACGTTGTCACCACTCCAATACAGCTCTTGTCTTTTACAGTACGTTTCTGTTTTGTGTCTAGAGGGTGTGCAGTTTTCAAAACAGAAAATCAATTTGCTGTAACTGTAAAAAGTCTGCAAAAGGCTGTGAATTTTTCTACGCAGTCTCCACTCTGTTACTGAGTAAAAACCTAAAACATAATACATTTTTGTGTTTGTTTCTCATCAGCTGGAGAAGAAAGAAGTGACGCCTCCCTTCAAACCTCAGATCTCCGATGAGTACGGCCTCGAAAACTTTGACACACAGTTTACTAATGAACCAGTGCAGCTAACACCGGATGATGAGTAAGTACTGCTTCTCCAACTCACATCACTGCCAGCATTAAAGCCAACCTTACATTTATAACACAGAGCACTTTCACATGTGTATTACTCAAGAGAAAACTACACACTTGTGTATAAAGATCCATTCGCAGAGACTAGAAATTCACTCAAGTTTATCCACAACACTGAACATAATGCCTGTTTTTGTGTTTGTCACACTTGTTTTATGACTTTCAATCTGACACATAACGACAATTGTGACAACAATAAACTATTCCCTTAGTCAAGCAGGCTTCTAGCCTCTGCTGGTTGGTGTTGAAAGCACAGTGAATTTTAAATGGAATAAATCAATGGAAGTAACTACCTGAAAAATGTGAAAAGAATTCAGACATCTGAGCATTCAGTGGGACAGTCCTTTGTTTGAATTCTTTTCCCTTTTCATGTCATGAAAAATGAGATGCAGTATATGTGTATTTCCCTTATAGTAAAAATAAGAAAAACCATTTTAGGGCATATTTCTGGAAACAGCATCTTAGCCTAGTGTTTGACATAGGATCAGTTGACTGAAAACAGTTGTACCTATTTTTCAACAAATCCACACATCATTAGGTGCTTTATCTAGCGTTAAAAATGAAAGGGGTCTGTCCCTTTAATATTTTGAAGGAACACTGTGCAGGAGATAGCTTATAGCCTATTCATTGTAATTTGCCATTACTTTTCATTCATGTTATTTCAGAACCTTCTGAGTCATTTGTCAAAACTCGGGGGGTAAGCAGTGTTGGCCCCCAGCCAAGTTAAAACAACACACATTCATGTCAGATTTATTTATAGAGCACATTTATAAACAACTAAATCTGACCAAGTGCTTTACAAATTTCAACAAAAGACACAACAATGAAAATAAGGCAACAGCAAAATCGCAGGACATACACAGATGTAGGATAAAGCACAGCTCAAAATAATGAAGTACTGACACAGTCAGTCTGTACCAAGAAATTACACCCATTGGAAAAACAATAAAGGACACTATCACTGCAGAAAGAAATACACAATTTTATCCAAAAATGTGTTTGAATTTGAATTGGACTTGAGTTCCTAACTACGGGTGAAAACGATCCATCAGTCTGGATCAATGTTGGATCAAACACCCAGTGTTCTGATGACCTCAGTGTTAGGTGTACTTTTGTTTTCACAGTCACCCACATCTGTGTGGGTTTCCGTTGAAGTGCTGTTCTTTTCACACTGGACAACAAGTGCCCAGTGGTGCAGCTAGCATGCTGAGACTGGGAATTAAAAGTGAGACATGAGTAGCGTATGCTGAAACAACTGGGCCTTTTAATCCACAGGGACTCCGACCTTTGTGCTGTCGCTGTCAGAACAGCCAGACAAATGGTCTTCACCAGGCTGACCGACAGCAGACATGTATTGTGGAACAGTGGTTTTCATTTAGGCTCATCAGGAAGAAATCAGACACATTTTTTACACAAGGATATATTCATTTTATTGATTTCCCCATCTCACTACAGAGGGCAGGAGAAAGTGAAAGCAGAGAGCTCACAGTGACATCAGGAGCCTGATTAATAATAACAAATACCAGTAAAAAAAAAAAAAAAATTGCAACACAAAAATAACTGAGGATTTGTGCAATTTAAACAGCTGTTGGTGGAGGTTATGCTTTGTTAAAGAGAGAGAAGAAATAGACAGGGGGTCCTGGAGTGATGTCATACACATCTCTGAGTCGGTGTGGACTGACACAGCTGAGAGATTGGAGTTCTATATGTTGCATGAAAATACACGGATAAAGTAAACTCTCCCATCAGAAGCACCCATTTCCAGATTGTGTGTAAAAGAGGCCTATCTCAAAAGTCACTTAATGTTGGATTGGCAGGTCATCATGGGTCCTTTTCACTTAAATCCTGCTGACTTGTTGTCGTGTGCCTCGGTTTCAGAGTCACCATCATTTGTCCAAGTCCCACATTTTGAACAACACAAACTCATCCCCTTGTAAATAAAATAGCATAGCTTCAGTTATTGACTTCAACTGCTAACAACTAGCGAAGTCAGTGGTCCTCCTGGTACAGGCCACACACGCGCTGCATGTCCTGCACTCTGAAAGTAGCTGCTAACACTAGCACTGTTTGCTCCTGCAGCTGTTTGTACTGTGCACGGTGTTTTACTACAGGACCTGTGTGGTTAAGAGGTAGACATGCGATTGAACGCCGGCAAGGGATGGTGTGTCACACATGCGCATACAAACACATACACAAAAGAGGCACACTATAGAGCGGAGCACAGCGAGAAGGTGTACCGTGTTGGCCATCCTGTTGTGGTCAGACCAAAGTTGAACAACAATCCTGATTCTACATGTGTTCTCGCACAAACAATGCGTGCTGTGCCATCTCCACGGAAGACTTCTGCATCCAATAAAGAAAAATCCCCCCACCCCCCACATCACTTTCCAACACTGACGTCTTTATCCATCAGGGACATTGTTTGGATTAATGCAACCATGCAGCCTTCAGGATCTGACAGGAGCCCTTGTTTAGGATTTAACTTAGGAGAGAAAAGGCTGAAGAGATCTGGCACAACAACAGACGTGGTGCAGGCTCCGCTGCTGCAGACTGTCTGCAGCTACAGCACGAGAACACAAACATGCTCTATTTTCCTCTGTGCCATCACAAAATGGATTCCATAAGGCACGGGCAGGCTCTGCAAATAGATTTTACCAGGCTTATGTTAGACAGCATTTTCATTTGAATCCATGCTGGATTGATTTTTCAGGCTCCAACATTTATATTTTTTATGCAAACCGTGTGTTGGATTGATTTTAGCCAACTGTTTCTCAACAGCTGCCCTGCTCCAAAGAGGAACTGAAAATTCAACACACAGTCTACCTCCCCACTTAAAAAGCATCGGTATCCATATTAGCATTTAGCATTAGGAACGAGGATTGTAAATCTAAATAGCAGTGTTGCAGTCATCCTCTACTGTATAATGTTGATACATGGAAAATATGGAATGGGAATGTACTGGGATTTTTAGATGCCAAAGCATTTTGCATGGAAGGACTAGGATGCTGCTACACCTGCAGTTCTACAGACTTCTGTACACACGATTGTTTGTATGACCTGTCCTCTTTGAAGGTGGGGCACAAGTGTATGTCGCCACTGTGCAACATATAGCTGGAAAACACAGCAAAAATGATATATTTCAGTTTACCACACAAGAAGACAGTGATTATTAAAAAAGGTTTCACCTGAAATATCATCCTTTTCCTCAGTGAAAGATCATGGACAGGCCAATGGAGAAAAACATTCAAGTTTTCTGTTCATAATTAATTTGGTTAGGTTTAACAAAATCCTGGGGGATTGTTGGTGTTCATTATTTTAAAAGTGATAGGAGTATCACTTTTAAAATAATGAACACCAACAATCAAAGCAAAAGTTTGATGATTATCTTAATATTACCATTTACCATGATATTTTGGGTACAGTAATCATATTATTAAAATTTGGTACTGTCACACTCCCAGCCCTTTGAGCAGAGCAACAAGATGCAAAAGGTTCAGTGTGCCTTTATCATGTGAAGTCGGGTGGGCACACCTTGGCCTCTTTTTATCTGCTTCTGATAGCAGGGAGCAGTCATGCTGGCTCGGTCAGTCTACTCAGGGCCGAGCTCCAGCTTCAACAGAGCCGGCTCATCAGGACATGTGATTGGCTGAAATGTCATGCTGTCACAGTGACCGGCTTGGTACAATTAGCATAAAAATGTGTCGTCATAACAGCAATGTGAGGGAAGGGCCTTACATTCAGCCTTCGCTTTGTATTCATTCATTCATTCATTTTCTACCGCTTAGTCCCTGAACGGGGTCATGGGGGGGGCGGAGCCAATCCCAGCCGGCAATTGGGCGAAGGCGGGGTACAGGATCATCTCTCCAAAACAAAACAGTGGTATAATCACAAGGCTGCCGGCCCACTCCATGCTTTGTAGCTGGATGGAGTGGAGTCTGACACAGGCACCAACAGGGCCTGTCCCTGCTTGTGTGGCTTTTGTACAGCAATAACTGCACCACTGTGAAATGGCATGACATGGAGCAACAGAAGCTCCCAGTATTAATTGGATCCTGATTAAATGCTTACCATGCTCTCCACCCATGACAGATGACTTTGGGTACCATGGCTCTTCTTCAGTCTGAAGGCACTGTACACTTCCAGTGTTCACTAGACGTTGATCTTCAAACCATCCTCGGAGTGGGTGAGCCTCGCAGCTCAGTAAGTAGCTGCAGCGAGACGACTCTGAACCTCACCCCGGCTCGTTTGTGACAGGGTTTGACAAGTGGAGTCCCTGACAGACATTAGAGGAGGGAAGGGGAGAGATGAGTGGGAGAATGGGGTGGAGAGCACGCTGCCACTTCAGCGGTGGAGGTTTCAGCCTGGCATCAAACACCACAGCACATCAAAAGAAGATGCACTCCTCCTCCCTGCATCTCACGCTTTATCTCCCCATCACTTTCTTTTCCCTTTGTTACCAAGGAGAGGGGCTAACGTCGCCCACTCCTGCTAGGGGGGGTGATGCAAAAACCTCTCCAGTCTCACTCTCTCCCACTTGTGATGGGCTTGGCATGAGAAGAAAGAGAAGTGAGAGGTGTGTAGGGAGAGAGAAGGGCAAAACCTCTGTGCTGGAGATTTACATCGCAGCATTAAAACCAGGGTTGCTGGGGGTCCTTGCTAGCAAGCTGAGGGGAGGCGGAAAGCTGCTTTATCTTTTCTGTGCCAGCTCATTGTCTTATGGATCTGCATTGAATCTACGCCATAGGTACAATGTATGTAAGGCCTGATTTACGGTTCTGTGTTTAATCTATGCCGTACCTACAGCCTAAGTAATGTGCAGCCTTGTACCTTACGCCATACCCTGACACGGCAACACAGACAACTCTAATTGTGATTGGTTGCATCACATTTCCTCATTCATGTCTCTCAGTGGCCCGACAAGTATGAAAAAATTCCCCCTCGTCAGTTGGTTCAGTGGTCGTACAGACCATCTCCTCTAATGTCTTCTCTCTTATCTGTGTTAGATTAATTTCAGTAACTGCTGTTCAACATCTCTTAGTTTTACTCCAACATGACCAGCTCAGCTTCAGTCACCATTGTTAGTAAGTGAAGAACAACACAGTGGCATAGAAACCCCACCTGCCAGCTAGTGTTTTGGCAGTGTAATTGTATAGTGACGCAGGCACACCAGCACACAAGTATAAACGCTCGCATAGGCTCTGTGTAGAACGCAAAACCTTAAATCAATAGGACCTTTCTTTTCTCTAGCCTCGGTCCTTGGTGGCTATTTTCAGGGACCTGCATATGATGGCTAGACCTGGAACACAGCTCTAGTCTGTCTAGTGAACCTGTTGCTTTTTCTAGAACCACAGATCTGTTGTGCAGTTAATTAATTAACTTATTCTTCCCCTTCTTTATTTCTTTCCTAGAAATAACAAGTCACAAAGCCTTAAAGACTTACATGGTCTTGGTCTTATATTTGTATAGCACCTTTCTATGCTTTTACAGCACACTCAAAGCGCTTTCACCCTATTTGGCCATTCACACTCCCAAACCGGTGACATCACTGGGAGCAAATGGGGGTACAGTGTCTTGCTGAAGGACACTTCGACATGTTGACTGGACAAGCCGGGAATCGAACCGCTAATCCGCCGATTAGGAATCAACCAGCTCTACCTCCTGAGCCACAGTCGCCCCCATAACATCAGTCATGTTTGTCAGGTGTTTTTTTACAGTGTTAATGTTGGCACCTGATTTACATTTAGTTTGTCTTGGAAATTATTTGTATTAGATTTAGTCAACAAAAATTAATGTCTAGTTTTTGCCATTTAGATTCTAGTTTGTTTTTTTTTTTTTTGTCATCCATTTTTATTTATTTATTTTCATCCTTTAAGTGTTTCTAAGCCTTCAGATGTTATTTTTGTTGTGTATAGTTACCACAGTTACATGTTTTGTCATCTGTTGCAAGGCTAGCAGTGTTGCCTGACTGGGTAGTTTTTGGCCATTTGGGCTACTTTTCCTATAATTGGCGGGTAAAAATGGATTGTTAGAATTTGGCTGCTTTTTGTACCAAGACGTTTCCACTAACAGTACAGCTATATTGCAGAGATTTTCAGAGGGAGGTGTAGAGGGAGGAACATGAGACTGTGATTCTGTGTGAGGTCAAAGAAACAGGTGCAGTGACGGTGTTCTGAAAGAAACGGGAAGTTAATTATTGTAATTTAGGCCA